CAAGGATTCATCATCCAGTTCATTCCCCTTATAGTTAAGGGGGCCAACATGTGTCCCAATTGGACGTTGGCGGTGGGCGAACCCGGAGCGCAAGACTGGTCAAGGAAAAGACCCTGCTTCGAGGGGAAAAATCTTGGAGTCTCGGGGAACGGGGAGGCTTTAAAAGCAAGTGCTCAGCGTCAGTGGCTCAGTGACGCAACCAGCAACTAAAAAAGGCCGAGTGGGTCGCGCCAAACGAGTTTGCGACGGCAGGGACAATGCGCGGCGCAGCGCATTTTGACGGCAGGGCCATGCAGGGCCGTGACGCGGGGAGCGGTGGCTGGTCGAGTCAGGCCTCAACGCTTGACAGGCCGAGCTCTGAAGCCACGGCAACAAGGTGTCTTGCGTGCGACTGTTTCGCACGAAACGGACCTTTCTTTAAAACTGCGCCCTCGCGGTGCCGCGCCCTCGCCGCGGCCCCGCGCAGAATGCGCGATGACATCTTGTTTCCATTCCCAGCGCCGCATTCTGTGAGATTGGCATGCAGTGATCGTGGCGAGCTCGGTATGTTTTGCCCTGATGCCGTGGCAACCTTAAAAACACGCAAAGGCAGCACACGAATGACACTTCCGCATCTTCAGCTCAAAAGGCGCAGCTTGCAAGGGCGAAAGTAATACTGTGGATGGACAAACTCCTGCACCACCTAAGAAACCCTGGAATGATGATTCCCCTGTTGATACCGAGAAACAATGGTGTCCTTTGCTTTCAAAGTGGTGCAGGATTTCGTCCATCCACAGTAGAGATTGGGCAAGAGAGGGTACAGAGCATCATGCGAGGCAGCATCACGCGCAGCACCATGAGCAACGTCATGCAGAGCGTCATGCGCAGCATCATGTGCAACATCATGCGCAGCATCATTTGCAACATCACGCGCAGCATCACGCGCAGCTCGCGCAGCATCAATTCACAGCACCGTGCGGAAGAGAAGTTGGCTGAAGAAATTATGAAGCATCCTACTAGGCTTGCTCGTCAGAACTTGCAGAAGCATTGACGTGTTTACGTTTTGTTGCTCCTCAAGTGGGGGAGGTGTCAAGAGTTTATTCAGTGTGTTTTTATGCTTCCGGGCCAGCCGTCAACTTAACCCAATACTATTTGGGGTCTTGCCGGGATACTGCATTTTGTACCGCATTCTCCGAGGGCCATGAAACCCACCCCTGGCTAACTCACCAAGCTAGAAAACAGCTTGGGTCACTTCAGCCAGCAGGCAGGGGAAATACAAAAGAAGTCAAACAAATTAACGTGTTCAGGACCAAGTGAGAAAGAGAAATACCTATTATGATGGCACATCGCGCAAGGAAAGAGGACATCTTGAAATGTGAACGATATACCTGCTCTTCCAGAGGCTTGCAACATGAGTGTATCCAGGTCATGCGTTAACATGTCACAGTGTATAAGATCAAACAACATTCAACTTCAAGCAATCCTTCAAACGCAAAGCCAAACTTTACAAGTGCCAAACTATGCCAAACTTAAGCGGAGCATTCGCCGTGTCCAAGGTCGCAAGTACATCCCCTGGGAGGGAACAAAAGCAAGGGCTGATGAAGGGTGCGCATGTGGCATACAAACATATTCCAAATGGCCTGGACACCCTCTGTGGGGAACCTGCACGAACATGTGTTTTGCACAAGCCCTGCAACTATACGCAAACATAAACCATTGCAACCCCTTTTGCGCCAGCAACCTCATGCCTACGCAATGACATAACCAGACCCAACCCCTCGACATGACATGTAGCCTCTACAAAATGATTGCATGTGTATGGGCCCATTTTTTCTAAGGCCCCAAACGGGTGTGTAATCCTCGACCTGAGGCGTGTATTCAGTACTAAAACAAAATGAAGAGAACACGTTTTTGGGGAGGTCAACCTCACCAATTTCATAGGCATACCGCATACCATCATGCTTGACCCACAGCCCCGCAACCCTGGGGCCCTGACCCCACCGCCTCGCGCGCATGGCGCTCGTGGGGTGCCCACCGGAGTGCGGCACTCCTTTGCGAGAGGAACGGGCTCGGCGCGGGCGCGTTCTGAAAGAAAGGGCAGTCTTGCAGGACCCTCAACCTGATCCATTCTCCAGAATAAAAATTCGCAAATCCCAGGCCGAGGGTTCGTGAGTCCCCAAAGTAAGGCCTCCCAAATCGTTGGCCGGCCAATCCCTGGCATAAGCGAACTGCCTGCGGGAGCGGCAAGCAGCGGAGCTGGCAGCATGGCCGCTGTGAGCCAGAAACGGCCAGGCTTTCAACGCTGTCACAAACGTCAGTCCATGTCAGTCCCAACTTGGCAGCGTGGCGTGCGTTTCGGGAGGCCAGGAGAAAGCCAGAGACACCATTCCCACCAATTCAGGACTGCAAGTGGCTGCTTCTGAACAACCAAAATCCCTCCCCTCCCCTCCGCACCAAAGTTGGGGCCAAAGCAACCTGTCTTGGCCCCTTGCTAGTCTTCCTACTGCCGTCTCGACAGTCTCTTGGAAGAAGGCCACCCGGCACGGCAGCAGCCCACCCAAACTATGCTATCCAATGATGGGTGCGCATAGCTAGCGCCGCTCATGCTGTCCAATTTGACAGCCATCCAAACGAAGCAATATAATATACTGTACATCCTACCAAATCCTGCTCCATAAATGCTGAATGAATGCAACTCCCTGCCTCTGTTTGTAGTGATCATCCTGCCTGGCGCCTGCGAACCCGGCGGCGCAAGCCGGTTTCAAACTTGCAAGTAGTTGGCGGGTTTCCCAGGAAGCGAATGGAACATGGCGCAAAACTGCACGGTGACCAAAATGGTTGCCATGATCATTCCCAAGGCCAAAGGAAAGGCACTAGGGTCAGGAAGTCTCACCCTGGCCCAGGCCACCTGCGCATCCCGCCAATTCCCGCCGCCTTGTTCTGGCGGTAGCTTCGTCAGGTCTACTCGCACCTCAGGCTCAAACACTCTCAGTACGTCTGGCCCGCACAAGAAAGCCACCTCACTTTCACAAAAGGAACCCTTCATAGCCCTTCCATCAACCCCGTTCTCTCCGCCCGGCAAGGGCAAGGCAGAATTCTGGGGGGGGGGAGGGAATTGAATCCTCTTCAAACCGCGTAGGACTTGCGCAAGTGCCCTGCATCACTTCCGGTATCCCGCACCGAGGTTTGGGGCTCCTGCCCAAGCGCCTTCAATGGCCACCTGTGCCAACAGCTCGGGATGCCCTGCTCACCGCCAGAAAACTTTCCATGGCCGTGCGTCGTTCTGCTCGGCAAACCCGGGGCCGGGCGCTCATGTTGCTAGCTTGCTTTGCCAAGAATGGCCATCCCTTGGCCCCACCATGCATCACACCCCAAAACCACACCTACGAAGGGGTCTGCTCAAAACTCAACCATTCCGATTGAACACCCAAATTTGATTTGCCACTCAACAACTGATGTGCAAGCTTCACTTTGAGTCAGAGTTGCAAAACACAATCTCGATTTGGATGAGGACGGAAGCTTTCAAACATGGGCGGTCAATTTGTAAACATCATCTTTAGTTTAATTCAGGTGTTGTTTACAACAGGGGGAGCAACTAGGAAGGGATTGTCATCAACATCAAGCGATAAGTTTGTCACACGAACAAACCAGCCGCATGTACCTGTGTATAAATGAGTCTCTCAAAACGGGGAACCCCTTTTTGCATGGTGCGCAAATCGGAAACCACAAGAAAGCCCACAATCCGGAGGGGCCCATGTAGCACACCCGACAAGCCCAACTCCATCCGGGGCCCCAGCACAAAACAGCGGATCCCCTCGCGCGAGGCCGCTGATGATCCGCCCCTTGGCGCTCATAGCTCGTTATCTGTCCGTGCTCCTGACTGCTGGTTTTCATTCAGTGTGAGCTCAAGATCCTTCATCACTATCCACCACACCCAGCGGACCCAGCGATTTGTCAATTGGCATCAACCTGGGCCTTCTGGCGCCGCATTTGGAGAATCGACTTTCCCTGCTTTTAAGAGGTAAAACCTCCCAACGAGTGGCTGAAAACACAAGAAGCCAAAAGCCCAGCTTGGAGGGATCGGTCCAAGGAGGCACCAGGCCTCCAATGAGGGGCTGCTCCTGACCGCAACCCACTTGTAGACCACCATCCACCTGAGTCCGCCCAACATGTGGTTTCTTGTCCAAATCGCGCCGCCAGCCATCTTGCTTCACCTGCAACAACGCCGAAAGGGATACTAATATCTGCCGCAAAGAAGCACACCCTGAGTGGCGATGATGCTGCAGTTGCTTGCGCCATGGGCTAAGGTCATCCAAGAAGATCACTGCCGACTGCAAATGCAGGTCACCCTCATGCTCATCGTGGCTTCACTCGTGTGTATGTGCGCGTGCAGGTGTTTGCTTGTGGGATTTCAGGCCGGCTTTGGGCTACGCGGCAATTATCAGAAGCCTGAGCCCCCGAGCCAAGCCATTTCGGAGCAGTTCGTCTGATCTCCTCGGCATTTCGTCCCAAGCGTTGCCAACAAGACACACTCCAGACGTTGCCCGACGCCTTCCAAGGCCAAAGGAGCTGGAGTTCTATGCGCTCCAACTGGCAAACCAAATCCCGGCACAATGTGTCCACTCCCCCAGGCCCCGCAGCTGAGCATCAGAACCTTCGAGGTTACGTATGTGCCAAGCCCTTCTGCCAGCCCCCCCAAGCAACCGCAAACCGAAAATAAGCTTTGGGTCTTGGGCCCCGGCGTTTGCTGGCCAGGTGCTTCCATCGCTGTATATGGTGATCCTCGCTGGTGGGCTTCCAACTGCAGGGGTACTTTCCAGGAGAAATGTGGAGAAATCTGTGGGTGCATTCTGTGGCCCAGAAAGCTGTCTTCAAAGGACCTCGCCATATGTGGCAAAAATGTCAATTGGGGCATCCGGGGTCGCGCACAAAGGTGTATTTTCTGTCTTCATTCTGCCCACCACATCTTGCAGGGCATGCTTGGGCATGCAAAGGGCTAATGTACATTGCGTGTTTATGCGTTTGCAACGGGTCAAAGGCTTCAGCCAAAGGCTTCAACCATTGGCATTTACCCATCAAAATGCGTAGTTGAAGGCGTCCGTATCTTTCAGTAACACATCAAAGTGCACCCGAACCTTTCCGCCAGATTGCACTCGGATAACCTCCCGGCCATCCGTGCCGGCAAGCATGCGCGGGTCCACCAGCTGGGCTGGATTGCCAAAAAGTGCACCCAGCAATCTGGTCAACGGGGAGGAGGACAAAGGGCAATAAAGCCGAATCGTTCGAGTGTGCCTTCCAGGCTGGCATGGCACGTGAACTGATCCATAGCCCTTGACCACCCGTCGGTTGCAGAGATCAGTGCCATAGACTGTGACTACAATGCGCGGCCATCCAAAGGGCGAGGTGGACTTATAAACCACGCCCAGCGGGAAGCTCCAGACAACCTCAGCCAAGCCGCCTCGCCATGTGACGAAGGATGCGGGCACTGATGCGCTTGCAAGCTGAGTGATCCCGTCTGGCACGCCAGAGACGAGTGTCCAGTCTGGCCCATGTTGCATTGAGAAGACACACATCAGAGGCCCATGGCCGCCCATCTCAGCCGACTCGATCTCACCATTTAACACCATCCGGAAGCACGTTGCTTGGGACTCCCTGGTATCATCTCGCGATCGCTTGGTCTCCTCCTGCCTGTCCAGTCCCAGCAGCCGCGAGGTAGCCTCCTGATTCTGAATTGAGACCGGGGCAGTGACCTCCAGCGGTGGCGGGACTGAACTCTGACTGGGCTGCGGCGGGCCTGGAGGCTGAGGAGGAGGCTGTGGGGCGTCGGACACCGCGCCACCCAATAAGTTTTGCGTTGCTTCATCCTGTGTTCTTTGCAGGACTGTGTTGAAGGCCGACATCGGCTCATGGACTGCATGAATGCCGTCAGCTAACCACTGCGGGAACGTGACATGTTTGAGCCGTATGTGGAGATTTTGCGTGACATCCTTCCGCACACGTGCTGCATGCATGTGGGTCCTGGCTGAATCCAACAAGACATTTAATATACCTACCGTTAAACAGACATTTGCGGGTCGTCAGGACTTTGAACGGATGATTCCAACTACCGACGAATTGAGAAACCAAACAAGCTCCCTAAACATGTTGAGGCTCAAATGTTTTGATAGGCTTCCTCAACATGCACACTGGACATGGTCCTGTTAGCTTCCTTGGAACTCGCAACCAAGCTTGCAAGCCTTCAAGCATTCCAACCATCGAAACTAGCTGAGGCCAGTGCGTCGCGCTCGAGGTCGAACCTGAGTGCACTGTGAACAGCTTATGGGGCCTACTGCCTAGGTAAGCACCAAGGGGTTGGGGCTTGGCGTCTGCTTCATGAAATGCAGGGGCGCGCGCGTGCGCGCATAACTTCGGGGCATAATTCCAGAAGTTCCAGAAGACTACAAAGGCCTTCTCCATCACTCTATGCGGTGCCATGCAACCAACCCCACACTCGGCTAAGAAAGACTCAAATTGGGGTCCGTCAAGGTGACATCTGTAAGAATGCCTCTCAAATGGTGAAATCATGTGAAATCAACTCCGGCTTTGAGAATATCGAGCAGCCCATAAATGCGCACGGATTTCATGACAGCCACATCCAGCCCGCAACTCGCCAAGGAACGCATCTCCTTGCTCCGCCTTGAGGCCGCTGACGTTTGCATGGGCCTGGCGGCGCCCTGTTTCTGGCCAATTGTGTTTTGTTTAAGCCTGTCCCCCAGCCAAAATATAACAACATTGCCCTTCAACTCCCCCAACACCGTCTCTTTCTTCACAGCGGGCGCTCTATCACCAGCGGGGGCCGCGGCCCCTCTTCCGGCCACAGCGTGGCGCCGTCGTCGCCGCCACCGCCGCCGTCCCTGGCACAGTCCAGGCGGCCCACCCAGGCGCCCAAATGCCCGCAGCGCAAGGTGTCCACCAGCGGCCTCCCAAGCGCCGCGCACCGGGCCTCGCAGCGCGGCTGCGAAGCAGCCGGCCCGTCCTGACGTGCCGAAGCCCAAAGGGGCGCCCCGTGGAACGGTGGAACGGAAGTTCACTCCATGCATCTAATTTGCACAGCTACTTCCACCTCCCAAACTGGAGTACAACGAAATTATTCAAACAGCCGCAAGCGTTGTAGGCCACAGCCCTTGCACAGCCTTTGGCATCCACTCCTCGCAGATTGCCAGCTGCTGGGGCGCAGGGGGCGGCAAGCCACAGGCAGGAGCGGGGTGGGCGTTGTAGCGCCAGAGAACGCTGGAAGTATCGGAGACCAAGTTGGCCTCAGTCAAATGTGGCCTGTGCGACCCGAAGCACTCCAATTCAGCAGGCAGGTGAAAGGATGAGGCGTTTCGCTCGGCAGCTGGCAACAGGGGTGAAATTTGATGGTCCACAGTGAGGGTGGGGGGGTAAGCGACATCTGGGAGCTGGGGGTTGCAGTTAAATTGATGTGTTGACAGAAGCCCCCCACCCCCCATCATCAGCACCATGACCCTAGCGTGCCTTTGTTGCCCGTGTCCTTTGTTTTGTTCAGTAGGATGTGGCTTTCAAATACAAGTGAGTTTGTCCTGCTTTAGTGTTGCCGCTGTTGTGTCAGTGCAAAATTCCGACAAGGCTGTGCATGCCAGAACTCACTGAAGGACTTTCACTAAGGGATATGTACTGCGCAGATCTGCGCAGGGCTCGACATTTTCAGGGCTCGACATTGACTCGGCACTTTGGGCGTGCTGAAAACCGCTGGCAACGCGCCATCATAGCTGAAAAACACATGATGGTTGTATACATCCGTTATCAATGCGGCTCTGGTTTTCAGATATGCATTTTGCGACTGGCTGGATGTCTTCCTTGGCGTCATGTTGCTGGTGCATGAAGTGCTCCGCAAGACATGTGATCCCACAGGGTTATGCCGGCAAGTTGTTTTGCCTCCGGCAAGGGGTCCTAATGACCGGCTCCGGTCAATCGCTGGCAAATCGATCTTAAGCCCTGCCCGGGTGATCTCTCCCGGCCTTGGCCGCGAAGCCCGTCTTCTTGCGCTTCTCGAAGGGGTAACCCCAGCTTTGAAAGGCGTCGTGCAAGGGCGCCTTGTACTCACGATTCTTCACCTCCGGGGCGAGCCAAAGGTACCTGAGTCAAGAACCCACCCAGCCGAAAGCATGTTGGCAGCATGTCCATTGCCAGTGATCCAAGCCGCTCCTGCACCACGCGAGGGTCCAGGAAGGGATACCGCCCCTCAACGCCGTGGGCTCCTCTTTCCGAGCGGCACAACGTCGCCCCGAATATTGGCTGCATTGCTTGGAATCTGGACGAGCCCGAAAAAGTGTCTGTTTGCGAGTCAAGTGGAGGGCAGGATCGGTCAGTTGGCTTGATAGTTGCGAGTCACGTCCCTGGTCTCAGGCATATTCCGATTGCCAGTGCGTTTTGGTTTTGCAGTGACCCAAGTTCGTATTTTAGTTCCGCTGAAGCTACACCGCAGCCCGAAGCCGCTCCTGCCACATGCTCTTCCTTGTGCAGGTAGTCCCGCTGCGTGGACAGGAAGAACTCTGCCCAGGGGAAGATCGTGGACAAGTTCTCGGGGAAAAGCCCGCCGAAGGAGGACTGGGGGCACCACTTCTTGCCCGCGAAGCCGTAGTCGCTGAGAATCTCCTAGGAGAGACAGGCGCGCCGCAGCTCGCGTACATAGGTGCCACAAGGGAGGTCTCAAGCGACAAAACAAAACATTGCATCGTGCGTGCCAGGTTGCAAAGAAAATACGAGATTCTTCCGGGGAAGAAACAAACAGGGTTCTATGAGCAATCCTCCGGGAACCTTTTCCCAACCTAACCCGCAACCCGAGCTTCACCATCACCAACCGCATAGTGCTGAAATTGGATGGCTAACGCAAGTGTCTATGCAAAATCCTTGCGCTCTGACCCCGAGTGCTCATTGGGACCAGCACGGGGCCAACTATCAATGTGTCAGAAGTCGTGATCTATCATAATGTGGACATCGAGTCCAAGTTCCATCGCAAAGCCTCGGGGTGAACCGGTCACAACTACCCTTTAACACGTTTCCAAGTTTGAAGAGCATGCCTGGCTGATCCATTTCAAAGGAAACCAACTTGCTGTTCCTGAAGTCGCCAGCTCTGTCCCCCATAAGCATCTTGTTCAACATGATTCGCATGAGCAGTCGCACAAGACTGAGCCACACCCCACCCTACCACGCCACCGTGACGAGGAAAACAGGGGCATGGCGCAGCCAGGGCACGTCAGCGCCAGTTCCGGACAGGTAGCACAGCGCCCCTCGGTCCCGGCTCAAGCGGACGATGTAACTCAGCCCAATTGCCTAAGCTGCATGCTTGGCTAACAAAGCCTGCAAGTTCTCCACCAGCTAGCTGAAAGCTCTAGCTCATAATTCTTGACAAACACCTTCAAGTAGGTAAGTAATCAGCCCTTTCCCGCAGGCAACCATCACAAAGGTGCAATTGAATACAGCCAGCGCGCCGCGAAGTCGTCCAGGACATTGCGCTGGCCCGTGAAGTTCTTGCCCAGATACGTGAACGGCTCGGCACGCTCCGACAGCCAGCGCCGTTCCAAATCGAAGTCCAAGTCGTTCATGAGCACCACTGAGACCTGAGCGCAGGTCTTTCCGGGCCAACATGTGTTTTCGTTTTGACATCTGGACTGGCCGGCTGACAGTGCTGTGCCCTTGGGCGCTTTTCAGCTGGTCCATGTCGTACCCGCGGCATCAGCAGCTTCTAAACCAGCCAACTTCAAATCGATCTGGTGGCCCAAGCATCAGAGCAGCCCGAGGCAAGTCTTCATTTGCCCCGAAAAAATAATTCTCAGACTTCACGCCCAACCCAACAATCCCAGGGCCGAAATCGGCCCTAACGCTCGCCTCGGAGGAGGCCTTGGCGTAGATGGCGCGGTCGTGGAGCATCTGCGGCATCTCCTCCGCGAGGAGCGCAAAGGCGTGATGCCGCACCGCCTCACCGCAGAGATGCCAGGTCTTGGGTCTGGGTGCTTTGACGGGGGGGTGGGGGGGTGGGGGGGTGGGGGGGGAATGAGGACACAATGACATCGACTCCGTGGTTTTTTGGCCATGATCCGCTTGAACCCTTGGCTGGCTGCGTTCCGCCAACAACTTGAACAGCAAGAAGTGATTACGGCGAGATCGGAGAAGCACGCCGTTGGCGAATCTGGGCGCAGAATGGTGGACGGGACAGGGGTGCCAGCCATTCGACACGCAACTGACGGAGCAAGGGCCGCCCCTTCGTTCGTCTCAAGCGGTCGAGCCATACTACCAGCCCTTGGTGCAATTCAATGGCCTTATAGTAGAGGGATAAGCGAGTTCAACCAACAAGCTCGCAATACCCCGGCTTGCAGCACCTTGAAAGTCTATGACTTGCCACATAATACGATCACTTCCCCGTTACGTGCGTGTTAGCCCTCAACTATTGAGGCAAACCGTGAACTTGCTCAGCGGATCCTAATGCCGCCTGTGGCGGCAGAGAGTGGATGACGGACAAGTAGGTACCACCAACGGCTTGACGCAGATTCCGAACGATGGCTTTTGCGCACCCTTACACAGTTCGTTCCCATTGCAATGTGTGCCTTGGCTCACGCCCACACAATTGCACGGTCAATCACTGCAGGCTGGAGGCAAGAAGCACTGAATCTAAATGGAGCTGAATCATATCTTGGCACCACCCACCAGCCCAACCCCTCGACTGCCAACCTTCCTGCTAGCAATGACTTGCCATTTCGAGAAGGCGCAGGATAGGCAACAGCTTGAAACAAGCCCAAACAAACCCCGCAACAGATTCACTGCTTCCTTTAAGGCAAGCCTCTTCCTTCCCAGCCGCCCACACCTCTTCATGGCCCATACCAGGGTTGCACACTTTAGGCAACTTTTAGAGCTCAACCACACCCCGTCGCGCTAATCAAGCTCCACATCCTTGACTGCTCTCTGTGGCTACCCTCCGTGATGCCTCTCCCTCCAACGGAAAGGCCAGCCCGTGCCAACATGATCCAAAACGGAGCGGGTTGCACCTGCTGATGCAGCGACGCGTGGATGGCCCCCGAGTCGAAGCCGGATGAAAGGCCCACAAACAGCGGGCGCCCCGTCGGCGCCAAGTCATCCGTGCGCAGCTTCACCGCCCGATTGAAGGCGTGGATGAAGTCATCCTTGCAAGACATGCCTCGAACACCGTGGAGTTTCTCCCAGTTGGATCTCTGGCAGTTTGTGGCCCTGGCCAATTGCCGGTGTTGCTGTTCCGCTCTCTCCCCAGAACCCGCTGCCAACCAAGCCGGAAAACTGTGGGAGCTCCGACCATGCCTTTCCCAAACAGCCGCTAAATGTTAGAAGTACGGTCCAGTCCAAGGTTTGCGTTTACCACTTCGTGGGTAAACTAGTAAACAACGGTTTACAGGGCAAAGACCCATGGAAACCTAGAGAAACGAGGCACCCCGCTCAGCAAGCGCAAGTTCTGTTCCACCCTAAGTGCCTAAGTGCCCCGGCCGTGGAGGTCTTGAACTGCCGGAGGTCAAACTCGAAGGCCGAGGTCTGCTTCAAAACCCGGAAGCTCTGGAGGCAAATCGTCAAGATCCGGTTGGGGCCCACCTGCCCACAAGACGCCTTGACTGGGAGAGGTCCGCCGAAGACTGGCAGGGGTCTTGTTATGCAGCTTGTGCTTGCGCGGAGGTGTCAAGCTATGTGTCTGCTCCCCTTTTGGGCTTGAGGAGCCTTTTGCAGCGCTCAGCCCAGGAGCCAAATCCAGTGCACAGTGTTAGCCGCTTCACGACCAGCGCTCCGTCCAGCCGAGCCGCCATATGGATGTCCTGGCTGCGGAAGCCGAGCCGCAGAAGGCCGCTCTTGTAAGAGGCCACTGCCAACTTCTGCTTTCCTCGCGGAGAGCCACTTGACATTCCCCTCAATGTCTTGCAACTCATATGCCGTGCATTGGATTATGTTGCTAGAGGTGCCGTTAAGTGCACCCTGCATGTTGGGAAGGCATCTATGACTCATGAATTGCAACAAGCGCCCTTGAGCCAAAGTTAACCTTGCCAGCCTCCCGCCCCGCAGCCTACTATACCTGGCCAGGCGTCTGAAGGATAGAGAATACCACAAAGGCTTCGTCCCGAAGACGTCAGTGGCAAAGACTGCCTTCTGACTCTCAAAGTCGAAGATTGCGATGGCAAACTCCCCTTGCAGCGCCAAGGGGAAGGACTCGCCTGCCAATGCGAACCCATGCCAGGGTGCACTTAGGAGTGCGCATGTAGGATGTAGGTTATTGTTTGTGTTCAAGTGCTGGCCGCCAAATGCCCCATGTCACGCTGCAACACCAGGTTCGCCGTGATAACTGTGAAATACTGGTCAGGTCTGGCCCAGAAGCTGGAGTATTTGGCACGCCGAGATCCCTGGAGCATCAACAATGACTTGAAACCTGGCTCAAGGCCCCAACCCCGCTCCGCAGCAAGCCTCTTCCCCACACTCCAAAGCACCCTCCCCGAGGCTCCACTCGCCTGCTGTCTGGTAGGCCGGCAGGATGGCCTCCCCATCCGACTGGAAGGCCGGAAGCCCCTGCTCCTCCGCGTCTTGGCTGAGCTTCCGCCAGTTGTAGATCCTGAAAGTCCCCCCAAACCGAAAGATCCAGCCCACAGCATTCATCTCCCCTGCCCCTGTATGAAACCCCTGAAGCTCCTCTTACTCTTACACCCTGGGGTCCGCCATGATCGGCAAGCGTTGGCCCCGGGGTTGCAGGTTGCTTGTTGCCTTTTGTGCTTGTGGACCAAGCTAGGGAGCCATGGAGCTTTGTGCAAACAAGTGATCATGCAGAACCCACATGCGCTTGTATCACACCATGTTGGCCATGGCATGTTTATGGTGTGACTTGTTACAGTATGCTACAGTCATGTTGCATCCACTACCCACTTAGTTCCAGGGGTGAGGGGTGACCATCCGCGAGACAAGGCTCTCCCCATTGAAGAGCGCCAGAATGCGACCGTCGTGTGAGAAGAACGGCTGGGGCCTCCTCTCACCAGTCATGTGCAGCAGGTTGTGGACAAAGTCAAAGCCTCGCCAAAGCCAAAGACTTCCAAGAAAAGCACTGGGTGGCAAGGGCGCTGTACTCAATGCCCTGTCACTTGTGCCAGCAAAACGCGCCGGACAACAAAACCCCCGCGCCCCGTCACAAAACCTTTGCTTGGCAGGATTGCACATCCCCACTGCGCAAGACCCCCTTGGCGAAGATAAGCCATGGAAACGCAAGAATATCCGCGATGTCCGAAGCCATGACAAACCTCGACCTAACCCTTCCTTGGCACTTCCTTATGCAGGTCCCTCCACCAAAGCACTCAGGACCATCCGAAAAATCCATTCCTAGGAGCCATGCATCCGCACGTGCGAGGTGGCATCCGGCCCCCGTGGTCGCAGAAAGAAGTTCACGAACGCCAGGTTCGCGATCAGCTGGTTCGCCGCTAGGAACGAGCACATGCGCAGCACGCGCGGCACGCGGCGCGTGCCCGGGGCGCATGTCACTCCCAGTGCCGAAGAAGCGGCGAAGTAATTGTGATTGGGAGGCTTAATGGCAAGAGGAAAGTCCCTCTCTCAAAACTCTGCAAAATTCATGGCCAAACCCTTCAATCACAAATGCCCGTGCTGGCTTGCACTTGTCGTGAAGCCGAGTCACATAAGCCACTCCCCAAGATGTGCTGCGTCTTGCGTAGCAACTTGAAAAGAAACATGGCAAGCATCTGAAGATCAGCAGCTCAGCGACTTTGTGTGCCCCAAGGCTTGAGCCAATGACAGTTCGGGGAAGTCCCTATTCAAAGAAAGGTGCTCCTTTCTGCAGCTCCAAGGAGGCGATCCCTTACTCTACGGTCAACCTCCGAAGTCCGGAGGCGAGGCCACGCGAAGACGTAGGGGGGGGGGGGGTAATTTTGTTTTCAACGCCCTGTGACCTGCAACGCAGGCACTCCTTCGCCGGGCATTGTGGCCTGGCGCGCTCAATTGCGGGACCGGACGTGCCGCAACCTTGTGAAACGGCGTGCTGGGCCTTGTGAACCGGCGCACCGGGCCCTACGCCGGGCCTTGTGAAATGGCACGCTGGGCGTTGTGAACCGGAGCGCCGGGCCCTACGCCGGGCCTTGTGAAATGGCGCGCTGGGCCTTGTGAACCGGCGCACCGGGCCCTACGCCGGGCCTTGTGAACCGGCGCGCCGTGACCCGGCAAGCTCTCAGATGCGCGGCATGGCACGGCGCCCCGGGCTGTCCGCTGCGTGAGCCCAACTTGAACATCCCACCCAGCAGCGTTCACGGCAAGGTTTCAGGCGCGGCTGACACACACTACATCAGCACGCTGGCCACTGTTTGACGTTCTTTGAAGTGATGCAAAACCAGGGAGAACAATTGCGGAAGCGCTGCGTCCGACCCCCGTTTCAGCCAACTGACCTGAAGCCTTCTTTTTCACCCGCCAAGAGCAGGTTCCAGGCACTGAGCTGACTGAGCTGTGGCCCACACATCTCTCTTTCATAGGATCTCCGGCAGCAGCTTGTTGAGAGCGCAGTAACGCCTCATGTCTCAAGTAGTTTGGCTTGCTTTCTGCGAATTGGTAAAGGAGGCTCCTTGCCCTCTGTGTGCTCCCACCTTGGGGCAGCACGCCCTACATACTGCCTGCCTTCTTCTTTCTCACATCTCCTTCTCTTTTTTTCTTTGCTCTTCTGCCACGCTAAGCCTTGGGGCCAGAAAGAATGCAAACCAAATGCGTCATGATGCGCAGCTGCAACTTGCCAAAAAGACAGTTTCGTCGAAACTGCTTCTTTTCATTTAGTCTGCTTACTGCGACCCTGCAGCTGCTCCACCGCGCGCTGCCCCAAGATCGGGATCCACAGAGGGCAAGGGGCCCAATTCGTAGAATGGTTGAGTCATAAAGGTGCCCGCTTACTCAACCGGGTGCCAAGTTTCCTAACCCAGAAGTGAAGGAATCTGGGACGCACAATCGACCACCTGATTCATCCGGCACAAACCACCGGCCCCTGAAGCAAACCGGGCTTTTCCTTATGGCAGGTGCTGGCCGGGCTCCGTGCTGGCATCGGGCTGGGCGGCATCGGGCCTTTTTGCCCCAGGCGCTTGTCTAGTTAAACCTGCTACTGGCTAGCCATCCAAGTTGCAAGAGACAAGGAAAGGCTTTTTGCAGACATGTCGTCCATGGCTGGCGGCCACCAGCTGGCATGTTGTTTGTGAAGCCTGACCTGCCCAAAAGCACCAGTTAGCAGTCGCACCCGCGATTTCCGTTCCATGTCAAGGGAGCAGGGTGTTTCTCAGGGCATGGAAGTAGGCGTAGGTCCCTAGGCTAGTTGAAGACTCACCAATGCCCGGTCGCCAAAGCCAACGCATTGATGCCACCCACCGAAGATCTTGGACGCCACCGGGAGGATTCGAGAGTTTGGCTTTCCAGCGCCCGCTTTGCAGAGCAACCTGCCTGCCACCGGAAGAGAAAACACCTTCGCCAGGGGCAAAATCCTACACCACTGGATGGGGCAAATGCCCAGGTGATGTCCGGCAGTGAATCCAGCAGTGAATCCAGCAGTGCAGGATTTCCTCCCTGCATCAACCACACTCACAGGGGACCGTCTGACATGCCAGCAAGTCTTCAAACACATCCCCAGAAAGGCCCCCTCTGCATCTTGAGCTGCCTATGATACTCAGAAAAAGAAAAAAAGCATTCCGAGGGCACCTTTCCCACGTATATCTGCCTCCCCTCTGCGCGCAAAGGCCGGCTCACGGATTTGGCGGAGGGTTGAACCTCAGCTTGCATGTGGCGAGCGTGCCGAAGCCAACAAACATCTGACTCTGCGATTCTTCAATGGCATGTCGGTTTCGGTAGGGGCTCCCGTCGTGGACCTCAGATTGCCCCCCTGTGACCCCCTGTGCCACGAAGCATTTGACAAGCGAGTCGCAAACCATTCTTGCCCTATTCTGCAGGTTCTGCCAATCAATCAGGGTGGTCTTTAGGTGAAGGCTTCTCATGAGGTGCAGAAGAACGGACGCAGAGGCAAACAGGGACAAAATGGGACAGAGACAATCAGTCCAGAAAATTTGATGCCTACACCCATGGCCCACGTATTCCTCGATAAAAACAAAGGTAAGAAATAGATCATTCACAAGTTACACAGTGTTATCATACATGCCTATATAGATCCTGCTCTGGATTCGTCTTTTCTTGACTTCCATTCCAAGAATAGAATCAGATTCAGCTCTAGAAAAGCAGCAACTTCTACGATACAAGCAGCACAGAGCATGGCAATCTCGCCGCTTTCTTCAGGAATCCTTCTACGCAGGGCAGATGAAATTGTGCCACCTACGTCCCTGGTTCATGGCCCAAGTGGGCTCTTGGGCCCCGACTCTTCCACACCATGCCAGCCTCCCATCTTGAACTTCACACCACCTGGGCGGAGGCCCGACGGCGCCATGCGGAATGCCTCCACCATGCCCAAGAAACAAATGGAGCAGGCCCTTGCTGAACCCCAACCCCCGCCACACACCTGCAACAGTGGCAGCCATTTATTTAGCAGCATTCCGTGGCACGACACGTCAAACTCACACCTCAAATAAAATTGCTGCTCGCTGGCTGAGGAAGAATCATGCCAACTGCTACCGGAAGGTGGTCACATGTGAGTTGCAGCAGTTATTTGCATAGTTGAATGGTCGGGCGTTTGCACCTCGTTCTCCAACCCTGCAACCATTTGGGCTCGCTGATCTCGTTTTTACAAAACCACATGCAATTGTGTGATCTCAACCACCTATATGAGCAACTTGTAAAACCTAGCCAGGCACATTGGAAAGCGGTTAATAGTCTTCTTTCAGCAACTCTATCGTTCCTGCGGACGTTGAGTGTTTTCTTACTCTGAGAAGTCTACGAAGTACATGTTGACAGCTCAGGCTTTCGCAGCTCCGGCTCGAGCGTCGCTACTTTTCAGTACAAGTTGACAAGTTTAGCATGAATACGCGTTGGGAGCTCCGGCTCGAAAGTCGCAGAATCTCAGTCCAAATGTAAATTACGAACTCGAATTAGCTTCTGTGTGCTCCCCTGAAGACTTGTAGCATATTCTACTGCGCATGTTGGTATGTCATGTCCCTCCCTTTGCATATTGGTGTTGCAGACGTTCGGCTGGGAGCTCATATCTCTTTTTGGGGGTCTTCCTACCTCGATGTTGCACCTAGTTCGGTATGTGACCAAAAAATGCATCCGTCCGTCCCGTATTGTAGCCTTCTGTAAGTAAAAGGCAGTCGCTGCGGTCAACCAAGTCCCTGCCAACGCCACTCGTGCACCACCCCCGCCCTGTGCTGGGCGCCGGGCTGTTGATGAGGCGACTGGCCAGAGCCTCTCCGCAGGCCACCGCCGGGGTCAGCACGCCACCGCGGAAGGGCAGCACCTGCCAAGTGGGCCAGGACTCTCAATCAGACATAGCATGACGATGCATGACGTACCCGTACCATGACAGCTTCCTCCTGAAAAGCAACCTGGAACAACAAAAAACATCCGTCGCGACGCGATGGGTTTTTTGCCCAGCCCCCTTGGTGGATGCTGCCGGCTGGCTGAAAGGTGCGCTGCAGAACACCCAACACGTCTCTTTGTACTTCTGGAAGGTTTTGGCCCCTGTTTGTCAACAACGCCTCATTTCCAGAGCCCCAACTGACACATCTCCCAGGGGGAAAGTCATTGCTAAGCCTGTTGCTACTCCAATTTAAGTGCCTGCGGAAAATACGGTCGTGCAAAGTCTGAGGTGGGGTTGCATAGGGGCAGCCACTTTTACAATCCTTCCGCCATCCTCGAACCCAAATGCCCTGCCTCCCTGTCGAAGACTAGAGTCATCGCCTGGGCACGCAAGCTCGAGACCTCTCGAGACAACAGGCCTTTAGGGACACAACTCTGTGCATGGCATCGGCATGGCATCAACCTGGATCGGATACTGGCTGTCTAGACTGCCGGCTGGCGAGGCAATCAGTCTGCATGATGCCACAAATGCTAATGCCGCCACAGCTGCCGTCTCCACAGCGATGCGGGCAGTTTCAAAGTAGCCGTCCCGCCCGATGAAATCGCACTGAATCTGCGAACGGCAGTCCGCACAGTACACAACTGCAGCGATTCAGACATCGGATGCCCCGTGCTACAACGCTCCCTGCCTAGCAGCAGTAGGAGGGCAAAACGCATGCAACTCTCTGCATCGCCCCAGCCTCGCGGCCCTTGTTTGTCTGAGACCACAGGAACCAGGCGCTCCAGGCATCGTCAAGCCTCGGCTGTGCAGGTTTCTCGCACATGCAGTCAGAGGTGATTCACTGCCTACATTCCTTTTTTGCCGCAAAACGGCGACAACTCGGCGCGGAAATGCAGTGCTCAAACAGAAAACTCAACTTCACAGCTTGCGATGCTGGGCCTTAAGAAGCCTCAATCATGGTTACTTGGACACTTGTGGGCCGGGACCCCGGCTCTTCCAAGGGCGGGCCTTCGCCGGCCTTGTAGTAGACACCTGCAAGCGAGCACGCAGCGAAAGCCAAACAGGTGAGCCGGCGGAGCGCGAAAACTGGAAAAAACACCCAGCTACTTTCGGGACATCTCTCAGTGTGACCGGGGGTGTGTTAATCCACCATTGCGCGGCGGCTGCCTTTGGCTCAAAGTGGGGATGGCGCTTTTCTTCGACTATGGCCTCGGGCAAGCGTACATACCGAACATTCTGAACAGGTCGGAGGTCTAAATGTCTGACCTTTCAGTCTGCTGGATCACTGCAAAAGCTGAAGATATGCTTTGATGGCAACACAATCCAAGTCTCGTTGGCGAACCCAAGGCAACTGTCAACACTGACAACCATGCCAGCTGTCATTCACCAGCATTGCGCCGCCCGTCGGGTCGCGCCTTTGGCCTCTAGTGCCTTCCTCTCCGCCTCCACGCTGCCTCCGCCAGCACCGCCGCCCGCACCGCCCCCAGCGCCACCGCCCGCGCCACCACCAGCGCCCTTCGCCTGGAGCAGCATCTCCTGCGCGACAAATGTGTCATGGGGGCATCGGGGCAAAACAGCCTGCCAGAAAAGGGGCCTTCCTTCTTAGTATTTGTTTAGTCTGTCCTTAAACCCACCAATACTAAGTCACTATTGAACCCCTCAAGTTTTCCCCGAAAATGTGATTCCCAAAAAATGGATTTTCCTGTATTACATGTTGTTTAAAATGACAAGGTTTGCAAGCTCACAAGGGGGGATCAATCAGTTGCAACCATTATGCCTAACACATCGCCATCTGCTCAACGGTGGCGACACCCGCTATCCGTTACAATGTGAAGAAAATCTCAGTGCCATGTTGGAATCAGCTGGGCACAAAAGCCTTCTTTGCCAGCCTGGGATCTTGAGTTGAGCCCGCCTCTAAGAAATTGCCAACTCAGCGGCAGCGACGAACTCTCCCCTACCGGTGCATTGCCAGCACAAAAGGCCGGCCCAACAAACCAGCATGCCAAACGGCCATGCTTGCATCGGCACATCAGGTCTCCAAAAGGTCAGGGGCTCGCCGCCGAAGCGTCACTTCAACTTTGCTTGCCCACAGCCCCCTCCGTCGGCAGCACAGAGAACTGCAGGAAGTTCAGGCTCTTCCCATACGGCTTCCCGCCCATGTCCGCCAAAAGCATGTTGGAGCGCCGAACGATGCGCGTGTCAAAATAGGAGTACCTGCACCAATCCGGCGAAAGGGCGAAAGGCTGCCTCATGGAAGGGGTTGAAACGCTATGCAGCAAATGCCAGGAAACTTAATTGATCGCTCCCAAGTGCTGCACCCGCATGACTCGCACACTGGCTGGGGCACACATTCGGTCCGCGCCAAATGCCCAAGTGCTTGTCTTCCTTAGCTGTATGCCCACTTGGCAAGCCGTGTGTCGTCGCCCTTCGGCAAGTCACAGACTCGAAGCTATGTTAGATCTGCCTTTCGAATGTCCTAATCATGCAAGGCCCCTTGATGGGACGATCCTCCAAAAGCTGTCAAATCATGGGGGCAAAGGTTTGATGGAATGCACTGCCTTCCACAGCTGCACTATGAACATGGAGAGCAATACATTGTGTCGGTCAAAACCTGCTCCCACATGCTAAGTGAGACCTTCATTCCTTCCACTAGTTCGTTGTACGCATCCCTCGTTTCCGAAATATCGCCTTGGTCACGCACCGCAAAGGCCACACGACTACACGACCACCCTTCCCCAGCAGTCCCAGCCGCGGAGATCTTGGACATGTTCGCATCCAAATCCTCGGCACGCACCTTGGTGGTCACCTTGCCAGTGCCGAACTCGATGTTGCAGTACCTCCACTTTGGCGATCGTCCAAAATACGCTCGCCCCTCCTGCTGAGGTTATTTTTTGAGACTTCCGCATCTCAGTTCTGGTCTTGCTCATTTCGACTCTGGTTCAGTAGCTTTCTCTCTCTCTCTCTCTTTCTCCTTCCCTCCCCCTCCCACCCAACGCAAAGAACAAGCATCCAACCCTAGCTTAAGATTCCAATGCCCCCTTCTCAAAGGAAGCAAGCAAGCAAGCAAGCAAGCAAGCAAGCAAGCAAGCAAGCAAGCAAGCAAGCAAGCAAGCAAGCAAGCAAGCAAGCAAGCAAGCAAGCAAACACACACACACACTGTAAAACCTAGTCTGATGCACCACATAACCGCTAACTGCATCAACCACAAGTAACTACCTGCTAGAATTGGCTTCGACCCCGACCCAATGAGTCCAAGTGACCTGCTCCTTGCCTTGATCCTACAGCATGTGCCTGGATTCAAGCAAGTCAGCCCAATGCCCCACTGCCGAGGAGCTTGACACCATGTCGATCGCGATCTGGCACAAAGCCGCCCAAAGCATAGGGATCTCCCATCATCTTCCTGGAAATCGCAAGCTCAGCTCCCGTCAGCGATCCGTCAAGGATGATTGAAGCCGCAAGGAGGGCACCTTTATAGCTCACGTTAAGTCCACTTTCTGGTTGGGCCATTGAAATGCATTGATGCCTTTTGCTGCATATGGTGCCTGCACAAATTGCCATCCGCACTCGATCAATCTGCCGGAGCTGCCCTGGGAGTTGTCGGCCCCCCCCCGCCCAGGCGCCTTGTGTCGTCGCCGCCCGAGGCCATGGTGGCACGTGTCTTCAGCGTACCGCCGGAAGCCGTGGCGACGGCGCCGCCGCCGTTGACGTAGCAAATGGCCTTCGGGCCGCAACCCACCAAGCCCAGTAGCCGCTTTCTTGTTGACACTTTGTGGCTTGAAGTTAGATGATTGAAACACGCTCTTTTCGTCCAAAGCACAACCACATGGAACGCAATCGTGCCGGGTTCGGACAACCACCCATGGCCCTGTTGCCAACAATAGACAAGGATCTGCGAGGAACAAGTTTAAAACTTATCCTGCGAACGCGTGCGCTCACCAAGGACTCACATCTGCTCACTGGCCACATGACGCCTAGCTGACCTGAAAACATGACTTGGTCTTGTCCAACCTCCGCTGGTCTCTCCCAAGCCATGCCTTCCGGAGCTCCTCCCCGTAGTCCTCCCGTGCCTGGCCGAGAATTTCTTTGGGGCCTTCTCATTCACCTTGCAGGTGCGATAGGCAGGGAATAAGTTGGAATGACCCCAAACCATCCCTTGTGGTTTCCTTTAAGGGGATCCCTGGGTTCATTCCCTCTTTCCTTGCTGCGCCCCAAGTCATTCTTGCCTTTGGATGTAAGTCCCAATGCCGGGCGCCTCGTTTGACGGTTTTTGCAGGGAGGCCAAAACGGGCCGAACGGACAATCTCAAGGTGTTTCAGAACCACTCCGTGCTTGCGCCGTTCAACCTCACTTCGCCCAGCCTTCTTGGCACAAAGGAAGGTGCACAAGTCGGGGAACCCACCCGCAGACGCGGCCGAGGGGATGATGAAGGCCCCGTTGCGTTCAGCGTAGCCTCGGCCGCGCCGAGTCAGTGGCGACCTGGTTCAACAGGTCGCTCCAACAAAAGGCTGACACGTTGCAGAAGCCACTCCAGAAAAACATGCGCCATGGGTTCTTGTGCTGACGGGCCTCTGGGGCAAAAAGGTGGCAATCATATGTTAAACATTGATCGGGGTTCCTGTTGTTGTATCACCTGAGTTTCCGACGCCAACGAGGGTTCTGTCAGCTGGCGTGCGTAAGTTGAAAAAATGCTCAAGCACGCTGAGTAGCTGGTGCGGAACCCATAGCTCCCTGTTGCTGGAGAAAACAGATGACCACCCGTATGGCTGGGAACCACCTCAAATAGTGGTCAGTGGTTGGTGGACATCTATCCCCACCTAAAGGATGTCCACCAGAGGGACCCCTATTTAACTTCACACCCACATAAAGTCAGCCTTTGAACGGGCGAATTTCACGTCCGAAACCTTTGGCTTGCCTCCGAAGCCCAAGTTGTCTCCGGTTCCCTGAGGATCCCAACCCCCCACCCCCTGCTCTCCAGCGCCGTGCGACGGTGCAGGGGTGTGATGCGGCGGGACCAGGGGATCTCTCCGCTGATGTCGCAATAGTGGACTCCCATGGTGATGCAGCAATCGATCCTTACGGCCCAGAGTTGCGAATGATACGCAGAGATTTTTAGCTGGAACTCCAATTGCCGGCCTCCGCTCCACCAGTAAAGAAAGGTTCAGCCACAACGAATCAAACGGTTGCTGTATGTTGCTGTCACAGCCGGGGCTCATAAGCTCTCCCTGTGTGAGCATGTAAGGGCCCGCCACGTTGATGATGCACCTAGCCCGGCGGACGGCCACCCAATGTCCAAGGCAACTCTTAACTCTGTCAAAAAGGACATGACTCTTGGGACGCACGAGGCCATGAGGCCTGCGGAAAACCTACGTGGGCACCTGCGGTTCTTACAAAGGCACCACCTTGCACCTTCATGGGGGGCCCTGTCCTGCTTTTTGCCTTTTTTTGGGGAGTCTGGAGTCTTCTACAAAGACGTTCAACCAATCTGCCGCATGCCGTGCCTGGCACTCTTCACAAGGTCAATAATGGAGTAAGGGTCGTCATAAGACATCTGCATCACTGGGGTATCCTGCGCTGGCCAAAGCGGACCACGGCCGAGCCAGCAAGCAAGGAGCAGGCAACGGTGTCTTTTTCGAAGCCAACGGTCCGACATTTACATCCCATGTTAGATTCACTGGTGGCGAGGCCTGGTCCAAAAGTGGCCTCAGAGCGGATTTCTTTGATGATGTCTGCTTTGGTGTCGCCTAGTGCAACTCTTCAGGTCTGAGGGCTGTCCTCGGTGACTTGGACATGAGGACAAAGTTGCTGAGTGCGAGTGCATGCAAAAAGCTGCTGATCCCCTTCAAGCATGCCATGGCGGCATTGCTCCAAGAATTGCGGGCACCTGTCACACTGAAAACCACCCGGCACAAATCAATGGAATACTTCCATAGACATCCAAAACCCGCAACCGCTAGCATCATGACTCCCTCTCCCCCCAGCGCCACCCCACTCACCGGCTCCTCCCAAATGGTGCCGGCGAACTCCCGATCCCTGAGCTCTTGCACCCGCCCAGGCGTGCGTCCGGCGAAGGCAAAGGTGAAGCTTTCCGCGGTGCGCTTCAGGGACACGCGCTTCAGGTACTCCATCATCCTGAATTTGGGGTCCGCATCCAGCCACATCTCCCTCCAAACCTCCCCGTGGAGTGCGTGAGGAGCCTGGAGCCCCAACCCTTGGTACCCCTTTCAATTGAGAATGGGATGAGAGAAGGGTGGCGAAGCCACCTTCCTTTCTTTCTCTGCACAACCAATGTAGCATTGGCAGGGATACTCCCCCCCCTTCCACTGCAGCTGGGCATCAGATATCCGGTGTACCCAGAGACCCCGTAGAAGACCAAGTCGTACTTGGTCCCGTCCCAGGAGCTGCACCAATCGTAGTTCCTTGCAAAATCATGGGGCCAGGCAAAATTGGAAGTCTGACCATGTGCCAAAAGTAAACCTGACATGTCCAATGTCAACCCTGCCGCTCTCAAGCAGAGACGGGTGCGTGCAGCGTCATGCTGGAAATTCACGGGTGTGCGCTGTGCCTCCTCCAGCTGTCGGATTTCAGACGGGGGAGGCCTCTGGGCCCCTGCTCTTCCGTACAACTTGGCAGCAATGTCGAGCAACGGCTTAAGCGCGCATGACAAGCACTGGGACCTCGGTCATAAGCCTTACATCCCAGTCGCTTGTACAAGGGGAAGTGCTCATCATAGATCTTCTGTGCATCGGTGTCATTCTTGTCCTCAATGAGCCTGGCACAAGGCATTTTGCCATGCGGCAACACAAAACGGTGGTGGGAATGGGAAGCCCACTGTCAAGGGCTGGTTTGATGTGGTTTGGAGGCTCGGAGAGTTCATGCTTTTACAAAAAGCCGGCCAGCCCCTGATCCACTGAAAGCCTAACAGAAGCAACAAGTTCAGCTTACTTGTGCTGCGCATTGACAAACCGTGGGAATTCTGCCAAAACAAAACAGGTACATGTGGCGTTAGTAGATGTACAACTGTGGCAGTAGATGTACAACCGTGGTAGATACACAACTAGTACAGCCGACCAAACGCAGCGGACGGCGATCGATGAGGCTGCGTTTGACATCTTGCGCCTGCGGTTGGCCGTGGCCAAAGGTTCATACTTCATCATGAACCTGGCTCCGGTGCCGGTTGGCATCCGAATGCATCAAACAAAGAGCAGATTGCCACCCCGCCGATCCGCTCAATAGCCTTCTGGCCTTCTGCTTAGCTGCGCCTAAAGGCTTAAAATGACCCTGAAACGAGCACTTAGCCAACAGGCACGTACAACATGCTCACAGATTCACAAGTAACTGGTCACAGGTTGCACTCAGCAGACTTGCATGTGCCCAATTGCCCTGCACACATTAGAGACAAACCTGCCGCAAGATAGTCTTGAGGAAACGTCCAACGGTTCACCCCCACTTGGAACGCGGAAAGCCAAACCCCTTGGATCTGGCAGGTGAAGTTGGCAGGGCAAGTCATTTTAGAGCCTTCCTAAGAAAAGCACCAAAACTTGAAGCTGCCAGCTTCTGCAACAACTTGAAGGCAGCTGCAGGCTTCACATGAAGACATTTGCCCATCAAGCTTGCCTGCTTCGACATGGCAATAGACAAGGGAGACATGGGAGACTCAGAAGTTGTTCATCACTTTGCCCTCCTCAGCCTATAATTTGCCGCAGTGGTGGCAAAATGCCCCACGCTTTTCCACTGGCCAACCCATACACCATGGCCAAACCCTTGCCACATTGGACTTACACCTTCGTTTCAGCAACACGCCGCACATGACTGCAAACCCATTCTCGGCAAGGAAGGTCTGAAAAGTTTGAACATTGCCATCCCCTTGCAATGGAGCAAACATATGTCTTCAGTTTTTTGCATTCAGGCCGGGGCGCTCGTTGGAGAAATACATGGTCTGGAAGGGCGGGGCCACCTCCTGAAGAAAACGCGGCGCAAGGCGACCCTCCAGGCACAAGCAATGGGTGAAGCGCCAAGAAGCTGGCCTGTTCCCGCTTGCCAAACTTGCCCCTTTGCCCGCTCACCCGTCCTCATTGGCGTTGTAGGGCGCCAT